TCAGGGCTCTGTTCCCAATTAGTTTTGTATCTGGGATGGTTAAGAAGCAGGAACTTTTTTCCTGATGAGTTTTGAATGGGTTGCATCTGGAACGGAATTCATGACCTTTTAAGAGTTGTTAAAATATTGGAAGCCTTGTACCTATTAAAATGTGGTCTGCACATTAATTTTCCCCTCAAGAAGATTAGCTATTATCAGGGTTTATTTTAAAAATTAAATTTGAGGTTGTGCAGATGTGTGCTGGCTTGTGAAAAAGGACGGAAAGAACATCCATAGAAAAAAGAGCTTTCTTTTACCTTCATGGGAATTTAGACTGCTCCGATTAAAGCTTAAGCCTAACGAAGGCTGTGCTTGTTAAAAACAAATGCGTGTCGTGTTGATCATCAATATCTGGCAACCTTATGTACTTAATATTTATAACGAACTCTGCTTATGTGGCCTCTGCTAGAGAGAGTCTTCATCGTCTTGATTGCTCAAAATACTCTGAGAATATGTTCTTTTTTTCCCCAATTAATAAACGGGTGTATTTGAAGTTCCATCATAAACTTGATCTTTGGTTTTTTTTTTCTTGCCGGCAATGAACTGCCCTGGATGTTTAATTCTGTCTCTTGCTTGCTTTGTGCCAGGATCCCGAGGTCTGAAGCCGGTGCCCGGGTGGTGGGGTTGTGCTCTGCTCGGGTGCTGCAGGTCTCTGGGTGGTGAGGCCTGACAAGACCTGGGAAGCAGAGCGATGATGGTGGCTGAGATCTGAACGCTTTGCCGTTGACTGACGGGTAACGTGGTGAACGGTAACCCGCAGGCTGGCACGGTGTGGTGGAGGAGAGAGAAAATGGGGAAAGACTGAAGGAGCAGAGCCACGATTTGGGGTGCAAAGGGGCACTGAGCGTGGCTTGCTTGTGTACCTGCAGCCAGCTGGTGGTGGCTGGGGCTGGGTATTGGTTCAGGTCGCTTCCAAGTTAAAACCAGTGCATCTTGCCATTACCAGTGTGGCCCTAAAGGCCGTTCAGGGAGTATGACTTCATCGATTCTGGTGAGATGTGTTTACGGAGCATTCAGGCTCTTAGTTCTGATTTGGAATTTTTTTTTTCTACTCTGCCAAGACTTTGGCATTTGAACAGGCAGTGGTCTGCTATCTGCTCCCAAATTTAGGAACCTTCCCAAAACCTAATCAGTTTGTCCAGAATCTTGAAGGTATCTTCTTGCTCACTTCCTATAGAAGATACAAGTTTGTGGGTTCTGTCTGCGTGTGGGCCTCCAGTCTTTGCATCTTTCTCCCAGAAGTGAAAATGCTGGTTTAATGCTCAAGATTAGTAAGAAGCCCTTGGAGACTGTAAAGTAGAAAGAACATGATTTACTGAGCTGGGATCTGGTTGCCTGCCTTTGTTACTCCTGCATCCAGTAACTTCTCAAAAATGCTCCCTTGTAAGCTCTGCTGGAACGTGGAGCAGCTGGGTAAGGGGGAGCTGGATTGCAGCAGAGGCGAGGAACCAGCTGAAGTAGCACAGGACCTCCTGAATTTTCTCCCTGCAACAGATGGAGTTAATGACCTGAGAGCCATTTGCACAGTTCATGCACAAAGCTGGTGATTTTAAAATGCCAGAGGATAGGAGGTGGCTGGATCCTGGGGAGACAGCTGTGCTTTCTTGAGCTGCAGATTCACGAGAAGGTAACTCCCCTTGGAAACTGTTGGAAGACTCAGGGTTTTTCGAAGCTGGCCTAGCTTGTGTGATGGGTGTTCTCACCTCCTCCTGGTCATGGTCAGGGCTTTGCTGTGGGCTGCAGCCCCCTCCAAGCCAGCAGATCACTGTGCAAGATGGGTGACCATCGCCCCGTTCTTGGAACGCCCCGTGGAATTAGTGATGAAAAAAAATGTTTGTCTGGAAAATAAAGCTAACAAAATCCTAGAGTTAGAACTTGTAATAAAATCTTTTTTATATATCTGTTCTCATACCCTAAAAAATGGCTTAGGCTGTTTGCCAGTGAAGGCAGAGCACTGAGGAGCTGATTTAAGCTATCCCGGGTGGGGAGTTGTGGCGCCTTGCCACGATCCGCTGGCTGCCCGTTCCTGCCTCTGTTGTATTTTGACTGTTCAGCTGTGCTAGCACAATTGTCCGTCTATCCGTGCTGTCAGCCGGATGAGATGAAATGCCGGGGCGGGGGGGGGAGTCCGGAGCATTTCGGCAATCTCTCCGTGCAGCTCGGGAGCTGTCGCAGCAGAGTCACAGAGGGCTACAGCAGAAGTTTGGGAACGTGCTAGCAGGGGTGGGGAGGTACGCGAGCTGGAGCAGCGTGCTGCCAGAAATGTATCCTGCAACAAGGGCCTGAGCAGGAAAAAAAAAAGAGCTGTAATAACACTAAAAGACAAGTACGAGGCTTGGCTCTGGGAGAATGGTGGTGAGTTCATTCTGGAAGGGTGTAATGAGAAGAGGCTTCTGTAATTTGTTGTGATCAGGAATGTTTTCTGCCCATGTCTGCTTTTCTATAGGAAAAACAGGTCATATGAATGAGGAGGGTCAACAAATCTGTACTTTGAACTGACGCAGGAAATATTCCCAAGGTTGAAAAAACCTCGCTGAGGCTGCTTCCTTCTGCTCAAGCCAGGATAATGCTACCTTGAATACCCAAGTCACAGACGATACAGTATTTGCTGAGACTAAGGGAGGCTGTCTTAATTGCTTTTGCTCTGGTTTCCCGTAGGTATTCCTCGCTCTAGTCAGTAACACAGGAATTTAAGAAGACGCGTGTAGCTGCATTAGCCGCGTAGTAAAGAACCTCGCGTGACAAATCTTGTCTTTGGAGTTGTCGAGGAGGAGGAGGTCTCGGAGAGCCCGGGCTGGCGTGGCTGGGTGTGCAGTGGCCGAGGTGTGCCTGGGGAGCAGCGGGGAGCTTCAGCCCCAAAGCGGGGGGAAACTCTGCAAGATGGACCTTTGATGTTCACAATTCCTTCCAGTAAAGCTGCGGTTTGTGTGCTGAAGATTTCCCTGCACTAGTGTTTCTCTGTTAACATGGCAACACCTCGTGTGGAGGCAGAGATTTTTAGCTCATTTTTACTTCTCATGCAATCTACTGGAACTCGTTTTGCTGGGTGAAGTTCTGCCTTGCTTTGTATCTTATTTGTAGTATCAAATGTCTCCTATTTTCCCCTTTCTGTGGTGAACATATTTATGAAGTAAATTACTGAAATAAAACACCCTGTATGACCCCACCAGGGACTGCAAATAATTGTTTACTTACTGTGTTTTGGGGTTTTTTAAGAAAAACAGAGTAGGCTTTTACCGTACACAGGCTTTTGTCGGGCAGACAGGGAGCCTGTTGCCACGTTCTTGACTGTAGCATTTCTTAAAACAAGGGTTGCAGCCTTCCGCAGCAAAAGGTCGAGCATGCAGGGGACATCTCGTTACCTCTAACGGCTGCCGGTGGCTTGGGCCCCCCAAAGCAATGTTTAGCTGTTGACAGTCGCTGTAGCAATTCCTTGTTTCCATCTCTGAGGAGCTGGGCAGCTGCTCACAACAAAATGGTTTGGGGCTGGGGAAGCAAGCTGTGAGTGCTCAAGGCCGGGGTGTTGTCAGCACGGCGTTCTCCTGTGTTTATGCGGCTGCGCCGTTCCTCTCGAGTCCTACCTGCGAGGCAGCGTAGCAGCCAGGTAGCACCGCTGCGCTATGTAAATGCTGGTACGAAGAATTAATTTTGAAAATCATGTCTTTTCTTTCAGTTGTGTTGATTGGAGACTCTGGAGTTGGGAAGAGCAATCTTCTGTCACGTTTCACACGCAATGAGTTCAATTTGGAGAGTAAGAGCACCATCGGGGTGGAATTTGCCACCAGGAGCATCCAGGTGGATGGGAAGACGATAAAAGCACAGATCTGGGATACTGCAGGACAGGAACGATACCGTGCCATTACCTCAGCGTGAGTACCGTGCCTTTGCTCAAGCTAATGGCAGGAGTCTAGCAGAGACGGTACAGATCAATTTAGGGGTAGGGAATTAGTGAAATGTAGAATCATAGAATCATAGAATCATAGAATGTTTAGGGTTGGAAGGGACCACTAGTGGTCATCTAGTCCAACCCCCCTGCAGTGAGCAGGGACACTGCTAACTAGATCAGATTGCTCAGAGCCCCATCCAACCTGGCCTTGAAATTAATTAAAAAAATATTATTCAAATTTTTTTGCCATATGCTTGCTGATTTTATTGCTGAATGAGATTATTGCTTTAAGTGAAACTGTGAGAAGCAAATGGCACAGAAAGGACCTAGGCTGTGACCTGGCAGCAGCAGACAGTGCTAAGGTAGCTTAGTTATCACAGTTATTCCCTTTGCTCTTCCTTCCTGGCAAGGGAAATGTTGATTTGTTCTGGGACTGGGAGAGTTTGCTAGCTAAGAAGCTATGTATTTGGGACCCATGACAAAATCATTAGGGCAGGCTTCAGCGGAGATCCAAGTCATAAGATAGCAAATAGTTTTGTGATCCTTGATTAGTATAATGAAAGTAATTTTTAGATTCTAATGGTACTATTACAGAAAAAATGGCAGGTTAAATCGAAAGTGTGGGGAAATTCCATTTTGAGTCTGGTGATTTGGGTATTTTACCTGCCCTGGATGTGCCATCTGCATCACGTGGAACAAGCGCCACTTCTGATGGAAGCTGGGTACTGTTTGGCATCAAGTTTTGGTCTTGGTAGCTTCCCATAACACCAGTGGCTTCTGGTCTTCATTGTCCCCTCAAACTTGAGATTGAGGGTAGTTCTAGGACAGTCTGCAGCCACAAAGCTCCCTTGAAATCTCAGTGACTTTGAATTGATCGTGGCCCTGAAAATTAGGTCCAAGGGTATGTGCTGAAGAACCAGTAAGTAGGAAGGCACCTGTGATAATGCTGATGCTGCAGCATGAGGCACATGCCTATTTAGAACAGTGGGGTTGAGAAGCTTTCATGTACGGCACCTTGTTAATCCAGACTATGTCTGAAGATGTAACCTCTGGGTGTATCTGTTTCTATGCAGGTAATAGGCAAAAGTATCTTTTAGAGGGGGGGAAAAAAGAAAACCCTATTGGCAGGCCCAGTTACTCAGGGCATATTCCGGTCACTGAGTTGGGATGTTTTTAAAGTTTTTAAAGGTTTTACAGTTTTTAAAGGTACAAACTTGTTTCTGAATCATGCACAGATTGAGTCATTTGTATTAAATTCAAGGTAAGGGGAACTTTTTTCTTTGAGGTGGAATAGGGTAATGCAGAATAGTCGGGAGAAAAATAGAAGAGCATGGAGCCCAAAGGGCATGATCTATAGGGAAGGAATGCGAAAAGAAAGTAATGCAGAAACAGATGCACATGGCGATTTCAAATTGCATCTTTTCCATAATTGTTAGTGTGTTCTTCAGAATTTTTGTTTTGGTGACCCTTAAATTGTTCTTACTGCTGTAAAAACTTAGCAGAAAAACTCCTGGCTGAGTCTGGTTCAACAACAGACCTGGCCGATGAGAATCGGTGCATCTGTACTGCTGTGATTCTGCCTCTCCTTCATGCTGGCACGAGCTCTTGCCACATCGCTGGGCCAGTTCAGCTTGCTAAGCCAGCAGAGCTCCAACCAGCAGTAAAAAGCGAATGTTTTCTGCTGACTTGGTGCCCTGAATCAGTGCAACGACGCGTCGGACAGGTGCTGGCGGAGCAGAGGAGAAATGGTAGGGTTGTGTGGAAGAGACACGGATGTTGTAGGATTGCTGGTGTAGGTTGGCTTCTGCTGTCCCGAGCCCTTGGCTGGAGTTGAAATGGGCCCAAACCTGCACTGAGGGAGCAAACTTTGTTCTCGGATTGTGGGTTTGTGGCTAAGTGTCAATATAGCCCAGCCCCACCTCTTTGATTTTTAAGAGGGACAGGAGGTATTTGAAGGAACACCAAGAAATACTGACGTTTTACTAAGGACTACTTTCCTGGTAGAAAGAAAAGTTACAACTTCACAAAACCCTAGCAGCACTGATTCTGAAATGCACTGTGAGTTTTCTTGCACGCTGTTTCAGCGCCGTAGTTTCCACAGTCTCTTCAGCATTTTGTTACATACGCTGGAATTTTTTAGGAATGCCAAAACCCCCAGCATTTGGAACTTGGTTTTAGGCTGCCCCCCCCCCCCCCCCAACAACAACAACAGCATCAGAGCTTTTTTCCAAAGTGTGGGGGGATGTTTTTAACTTTTTAGTAGCACATGGTATAAAAGGGCCAGATGCTGGGTTTGTTGGTGTAACTCGGACAGAGCTCTCTGGTATGGAATGTGCCTTCTGGTTTCAGATATTACCGTGGTGCTGTTGGGGCTCTTCTTGTCTACGACATTGCCAAACATCTCACCTATGAGAACGTGGAGCGCTGGCTAAAGGAGCTTAGAGATCACGCAGACAATAATATTGTCATCATGCTGGTGGGTAACAAGAGTGACCTCCGCCATCTGAGAGCCGTGCCCACTGACGAGGCCCGGGCTTTTGCAGGTTTGTAGGTGGCGTTTTCTGGGTCGGTGCTTTCTGAACTTGATGTTGGTGCAAGCTGTAATCTTGCTGTTGTTGGACTGAACTTTCACCTCAAGTTTTATTTTTGACCCTAAAAAAGTCATTTAAGACTTTTTTTTTTAAATGAAAATAACTTGGCTTGCGTGGTTGATTTGTCTTGTAGATCGTGTGTTTTTTTTTTTTAAATCTAGTGGTAGTACATGTTTTTGAAACGCTGTCCTTGAGCTGCCTGATAGCTGAAGATTAAACACTTCCTCTAGCAAGGCTAGAAACAGTAAGCAACATTTAGAAGCGAAAATGTCACAATATAATTATAAAATATCACAACACGAGATGTCTTTCCTTCCTTCCTAGAGGCCTGGTTCTACTTAGTCCATGTCAGTGTGGACAACTGCAAATGAACACTGAGCCTTCTTGTAGATGGTGTAGATTCTGCTCCAGAGCACTGATGCTTATAGTAGTGTCATCTGGTTTCATTTAAATGCAGTGATCAACTTGGAAATTATCAGTTCTTGGGAGAAATCCAGGGGGTTATGTGAGCTGCTGCCACCGCATTACTTCTCTCTGCCTTACCTTGCGGAGCGCTAGAGAAATATTCTTTTGCCCTTACGGGCTTAGGGGCATTCAGCTTTTGTGTGGCTGTCAAGCTTGGAGGTGGAATTTAAATGCAGAGCCTTTCAATTCCTTCTAGGAATATTACTAGGGCTTGCTTAAACATGTTTTCTGAAGTTTGCTAGTAAGCCGGTACCCTGTGGTTAGTAAAACCACTTGCAATTTTCACATGAATGAGAAGTGAAGTCCATATGAGGAAAGCAAAACAAGTTCATAGGCACCCTAGATAGTGCATTACTTTGGTCACTTGGTTCAACATCTTATTTTTTTGCCCCTGACTTCCTACTGAAGTTGTCTTAAATAGCTAGTGATGGTACAGGGTTGCCGCATAAGCTCTGTGACTGAAATTTGCCTGTTTCTGGGCAGGGGGTACAGTACCATTCTAGGTGTGATGTTTGAGTGTTAATCACCATTTTTTTTTTTTATATAAATATATCTTTTGCCTTATAATAGGAAAGAAGAATATAGACTGTATTACTCGGGGTTTCGTTGTAATTTGGAGGTGGGATTTGATTAGGAAATGTAGATCTGGTCTCTTTTTGGGGCTGCAGAGGAGAATTGAGAGTCCTGTTGCAGCCAGCATGCTTTTGCCTGTGCGCTCGCTCGCAGTGCTTCTAGGAGGGATCTGCAGCCAGATGACAATAATATCGTATTGCCTGGCTGGACAAGGGCTGCCGGGAGGAAAATGTTCTCACGCTGTGGAAAGGCAGTGGTCAAAGGGGACTCTGCTGAAACACAAGCAGCTAAATAAATGGTGCACCAGGTCGTTTCCAGTGTAACAGGGGAAAAACACCACTGTGCCCCAGCTGATTTGGCCTAAAAATAAAGGTGAAAACCTCAAAGTAAAGGTGAAATGAAGTGCTATTAAAGTTTTTAACTGAATCATTTGTTATTTATTACAGAAAAAAATAACTTATCTTTTATTGAAACTTCCGCTCTGGATTCAACAAATGTAGAAGAAGCCTTCAAGAACATCCTTACAGGTATGGTTTGTTACGGATTCAGGGACTGCCTGAGGTAGTAGGCGCGTTCATGGGCACGTTTTGCATTTATTTAGAATGTTATGGATGTGAATGTTGGGAATGATGGCTAGTTTGCAAGCCTTCTAATCTTACCTTTGTGTTCTGCCTCCCACCCCACGCATACCTTTCTGCCCAAGGATCTGAAGGTTTCTAGTCTCCTGGTGCTCCATAAATTCAAGCTATTGCAATAGCACTGTTGTAAAGGTGGTGCGGTTCTGTGCCTGCACAAAATCTAGGCAGCGAAGCCACAGCTATGCTAGGAAGTTAAATGTGCCAGTGTGGTCTCTTGCACCAAAGCAGACTGGGACATAGCATTTTTGTCCAGACTCCTGAACTCTTGTTCTCAGCTGATGGTAAGGGCTGTAGGTGACTGCGCACCAGCAGCATAGCTGCCTGCAGGCTGCCTTCTGGGAGTGTCCCTGAAGAGTCTCAGGAATTGTCTAAGAATGTGATAGTGGTTAAGAGGCCAAAATGAGGCCAGGGCTTATGATTTCCACTGCCCAAGAATGCTCCTTGGCATGTATAAGTGCTGTAGAGATGGCTGCTGAGTGCACAGTGTCTAGCTGCAGCTTCAGACTTGCTGTACGTGTGGGAATGCTCATGCAGTAGGTCCACTGCGTTAGTACCAGAGGCATTCCAGGTAGTACTACTCTACTACTTGCTTTTTATCTCTTTCAGACTGGGGCTTAGGATTTCCATTCCTTAAGTTGTTACCTACATGTATTTTCTTGGCCCTGGAGTAAGGGAGCACCCTATGGCACATGAGGCCTAGGATTCACCAGTAAGGCTTTGTTACTGTAGGTACACCAGTGAGTCCTCCTTACTGTGCTAAGCCGTGGCCAAAGCACTTTTGTGAGCAGACTCACAGGAATTCCCTCAAGTCGTGCCAGGGCAGATTTAGATTGGACATGAGGAGAAATTTCTTCCCCGAAAGGGCGGTCAGGCGCTGGAAGGGGCTGCCCAGGGAAGGGGTCGAGTCCCCACCCCTGGGGGGATTTAACAGCCGGGCAGAGGCGGTGCTGAGGGCCAGGGTTTGGGGGTGGGATGGCAGGGGTAGGGGAGCGGTTGGGCTGGGGGAGCTGAAAGGGCTTTGCCAACCTCAACGATTCTGTGATTTCCAGCTGGTGTTTTGCAAATTTGAGCTGAGTGCTCATTTGGCCTCCAGAAGAGTGCAGCTCTGTTCTAGGCTAAATGCGGCGCATGGGGAACTTGCTGAATTCCTTCAAAGGGAGGTTGGCCAAGAAGTGAGTTGTATGAGGTCATGAGGTAAGAGGAGGAGGAAGGACAGCGTTGAAGTGGTGAGGATGTGTCCTGGGAGATACGTAGCCTGCAGGCAGTAGAAGTGGGAAGCACACAGAGCAAGAGAGATGCTTAAAATAAGCGCTGTTCATCTCTGTTACTTCAGTTGGGGTGGGTAACTTTTCCCAAACTTGAGGCTTGGCCTAATCTTACTCTAATTTTAGTTAGACTTCAGTTTGTGTGAGTGTGTCAGCACTGTATGCATTAGCACTTTGGTGTTAATGCATACAGTGCTCTGCATTTGGGCAGCTTTGTGCCTGAGCTAACCCTCGGAAGTGGAGTCCTGGGGAGCACGGTGCTCTCACCCCAGGGTGTCTGAAGGAAACCAGCATGGGCCTGCAGGACTGCTGGATCGGAGCTAACAAACCCTGATAGACTTGAGCACCTCTGCTTTCAGAGAGTCTGCCTTCCACTCCATGTTCTGCAGTAGTCGTTATCTCAAAATACTGTTTGAGGCAACAGGGAAGTTGGTTTTGCACAGTCTTCCACTCCTAAAATTAAGTAATTGGTAATTGGCAAAGAACCCTTAAAAATAATATCTAAAGAGGAAGAGGGCCATCAAACAGGTATTGGGTTGCCATTTTACCTCTGGCTGCTCCATGAGATCTGAATCTTGTCTTAAAGAGGGGAAAACGCCATATAATTTGTCAGTGGGTTTGTTCTGTCTCTTGGAGAGCTCTTTAAGATCCCTACTGTGAACAGGAAGAGTTGGCAAGATCCAATTCCTCACTGTTCCTTACCATAGCTGAATTCTAGACTGATAAACTGTCTCTATAGTCTTACCCTCGTACACTGTGTTGTGAAGTTGTGCCTGATTTTGTGTCCCACAACGTTTTGAGATGAGCGTTTTCTGAGCTTTTTTGTGACCAGATACTGATTTCAGTTAAATGAGAACGAGCCTTTGTTTTGGTTCTACTTGATTATCAGGAAGTGTCTGGTGCATATTGCTTACTGGATGCTGAGCAAAGAATTGGCTTTGCATTATTGTTTCTTTTCTTATGTATGAATGAGAGCTGATTACTAGGAAAGAACCTGAGTTTCAATATGGTGTATTCTGTAAGGCAGGCTCTTTCAGGTTTCTCTTGCAGAGGTGTGCAAGGAAGCGTTGGGATCACTAGGTCTGGTGCTGGCCAGCTCTGCTGGTACCAGAAATGTGTTGCAATTAGAGGAAGATGACCAAGAAGAGAGGCAGGCAGGAGAAAAAGGATAGCCAAGCTGCTCCTGTAAGTAAAAAGCCTGACAGAACTAGGAATGGGTTATATTTGCTGCCCAGCAAGATTTGCATTGAGTTATTAGAGCTGCTGGTGAAGCAGCTGGAGAATATTGTTGAGACAAAGCTGTAGAGGAGACCGCCTGGTGCCTGAGCTGTCTCTTGAGCAGAGCGACCTTATAGCGGATTCACTGCTTATCTGGGACGCTTGGCTGGATCTGAGGCAACTTGCCTGGCACTCTGAGATGGTACCCATGGTTTTAATGCTCTGAGCGTAGTTCAGCAGTCGCCATCCATCCTGTCTTCCCTTGCAGTGTGGTCCTGAGACTGACCCTGGGCAGAGAAGGTGGCCTTAGGTTGCTGTAGGAGAGTGCCCCAGTACAGGCTGCTGGAACGGATAAGATGTTTGGGAAGCCAGAACTCCAGCTGGGGAAACTGGGCAACTGAACCCAACACACTATCTCTTAGCAGCATCCTGGGCTCCCAGAAGTGTTGAGATTGCCCAGTTCAGGTACCGTGGGGATATGGCCAGTAAGACTGAGTCATGCTGAAAAGGCCATTCCTGAAGTGATTGCTGTGGGGAGAATCCCCCTTCTAAGGGAGGAGAAGAAACCTGGGAATATGTGCTGCATAGAGCAACCACAGGGGTCGCGGAGGAGGGAAGAGAATGGGAGCAGCAGGACAAGAGTTTCCTTACTGGCCACCAGTTTGAGGGATCACTAAAGACTGGGCGGGGGACACAACCAAAAACCAAACCCCAAACAGATGCTGCCCCAAAGAGAAGGGTTTGGCAATGACTCTGAACAGCTAATACTAAAATACACCACCGAGCGTGAAGGAAGAGGGATGTGGCAGTCTCTGACAGAGATCTTGTCATCCCTTTCAGCAAAAAGAGCTGAAGGTAGCCAATGGCAACGAGATCAGTCTTGGGTTAAAGGTTTCCATTTTAAACAATGTAAATATGTGCTACTTCTTTATAAATAAATAAATAAAAAGACATAAACAAAACCCACATAGTCCCCCGTGATTTTTAATCCTTACTGAAGAGTTCGGGTGTTGCTGTTTTGAGGCTGTGGCTGTATGAATGTGACCATAATATTTACCACAGACTTCCAGGGTGGTACTTGCTCTTTTCCTGTCTCACAATGGAGGGAAGTCGGAACAAGGGCTTACCGTCAGTGAAATAAGTAATTTAAAAACCTTTCAACTCAAATTATTTCTACTAACTGTGCAGTTGAAATGGTTTGTTTCTGAAAGCTTTTGACCTGGCAGTCTGTCTTCAGCGGTTAGGGCTTTGTGGATCTGTGTGCTTTCAGGCATAAATTAATTTGAGTCAAATAAATTAATTCTCTCAGGAAAAGCATTTTTGGATCAATACGGGGCTTTATGGAACCATGTGGCTTTTTACCGTCATAGGTGGGAACGCTGTTGCAGAGAGGAGGAGGCATTTCTGTCGTTTGGTAGTAGCAGCTTGCCAGAAGCGAACGTGTGAAATAGATAGCGGTCATTGCTGCTGTGCAATGACGTTGTGCAAGCATCCTGTTGATTGACGTTTCTAGATTACACTGCCCATTTTTTTTATCAAAAATAAGATGATTCCCTATGATGCCCTATTTTAG